CGGCTTGACGACCCTGTGCACAGGGCACTTCCGATTCCCTTGGCCCACAGGAAAAGCAAAAGATGACTGAGAATTCTGCTTCGGCCCCTGCCGCCAAGCCCAAACGGGCCAAGGCGGTCAAGAAGTCAACAGACCACCCCAAGTACTCCGACATGATAGTGGCTGCCATCCAGGCTGAAAAAAGCCGGGCTGGCTCCTCTCGCCAATCTATCCAGAAATATATTAAGAGTCACTACAAAGTGGGGGAGAATGCTGACTCCCAAATCAAATTGGCCATCAAGAGGCTGGTCACCACTGGTGTCCTTAAGCAGACCAAAGGAGTCGGTGCATCTGGCTCCTTCCGCCTGGCCAAGGGTGATGAACCCAAGAAACCACCAGTCAAGAAAGCCAAGAAGGAGGTCAAGAAGGCCACAACGCCCAGAAAAGCAGCTAAGCCCAAGAAAGCTCCCACCAAGTCCCCAGCCAAGAAGCCCAAAGCTGCTGCCAAGAAAGCCAAAAAGAAGCCAGCAGCCACTCCAAAGAAAGCCAAGAAGCCAAAGACTGTCAAGGCCAAGCCAGTGAAGGCATCAAAGCCCAAAAAGGCAAAGTCATCAAAACCAAAAGCAAAATCCAGTGCAAAGAAATCAGCCAAGAAGAAGTGAAGTGCAAGTCTGGGATCTTCATTCTTGGACACTCTTCTTCACCTCTTCTTCTGTAAATAGTTTTCTCCTTTATTCTCTTCTCTCTATTGCAACTTTATAAAAGACTGGACTATTATTTCCCTGAAATAGTTAATTCAATTACTAAAAAAATCCCTCAGTGCTGAGACTTCTTTTTAAAGTGTTTTTTTTTGTTTGTTTTGGGTTTTTTTTCTGTTGTAAACTTGTAATCTTTGAGCTCACTTTTTAAAAAAAATGTATGAAATTCTAATTTGTGTTTTGGGAGCTGAGGGGAATCCATGTTGGATAAAAGGGATTTGAGTTCCCCCGTCTCCTATCAGCTCAAGAATATCATATAGCTAATTTGGCTGTGGATGGAACTTGCCCATGTCAGTATGGAAACGAAGACCCCTAAATTAAAGTGGTCCGAGAAAAGTAACTGTACTGGAAGATCTTGACCACTTGGGATTAAATTCGGTAGCATAAATTACATTTTCTTCAGCTTAAGTCTGTTGGTTCAGCATTTCCCTTATTATATATATACTAGTGACACAGACAGCTCATGGGCATGTGATGTGTCTTCCCCACCCCAGTGAAAGGAAGGGGCTAGAGTAGATAATTTGACCGCCTACTTTGCTCTTTTGGGAGGAGGTTGCCTTTTAACTGAGAGGCTTTAAACAGAAATAATTGGGGATTTCCTGGTGGGATCTGCAAAGTACAGTTTTCTTATAAAAAGGGTGGATTTGCAGAAAATCATGGTTGATTTCACTAAAGAGGAGACGGGGGAGGTCTAATTCCCCTATCCGCTCAAAATAAATGAAAGGAAAAAGAGGTTCTGCTTCCAACTGCATGAGAACCATCATCCTAATCCCTCCAGTGTCTGTAATATCTTGTGGATTTAAGAGAAAAGAAAACCATCCCTTCAGCACTGAGAGTGACGCCGGGTTCTCAGAGTGCTTTCCAACCCTGCAGTGCCTGCTTCCTGATCCATAGGTTTGGTGTGTAGCCATACATCTACAATGGAAAGGGCAAATGACTGTTTCTTTAGGTGTAGATTTTTTGATTGGAAGGGGAAAAGTGGGATGAAAGAAATGTAACTGATACTGAATCTGTCAAAGTTGCTTTATGGAGCTGGAGCTGTGTACTGCTATTGCTTTCAGGTTTGAGGGTGGGAGGTTGGGAGGACAGAGTGGAAGGGATAATTTCCAATATTCCAGTAACAGAAAAAATATATTTGGTGAGTTTGCTGTTTTAAAACCAAGTGAAAAATTTCATAGGATTGATGTTTGTTCATTTTATTTTGTAAGTGTGATTTGTGCAGGAATTAATTTGCAGTCTTTGTGATTTTAGAGTTTAAAACAACCACAGCAAATAAACAAAGAGAGGAAGGTTGAAATTTTCCTCATTCACTGTCTTCTTTGTATTCTTTAGTATTTAAAAATACACAACTTGGGGCAGGGGGCACCTGGAAAGAAGAGGAATATAGGGAGAAAAGGTTATACATGTGTGCACAGCACACACAGTTGGATGGTAAGGTGTGATTCCTTTTCCAGTTTATAAAAACAGTGTTTTGTAAGATGCTGAAGGGATAAGGAAAGTTTGCTGGTGCCTGAACTATGGATAAGCCCTCGAGCATGGAATCTTGCATAGGCATTGAACAATTGAAAGAGATTGGGAAGGAAAACAGCACTGGTGACAAGCCATGTGTGGATGTCTTGGAATGAACCAGCAGCATTTCACCAGCTTAATGAACTTCCAAAGCATACTGCCACTTGAGTTCCAGGCTGACCAGATATCCAAGCCAGAGTACCCTCGGCCCAGGAAGTGTCCTTCCTGATGGACTCTGCCCTGAAATGTCTCTAGTGTATTGAAATAATCTTTTAGCATCCCATCTGGCTGTAGAAAAGTAGATTGTGAGGTCATTATTCAGGTGTACTGCTTCTGGGGATCACTTGTACAATTTTGTTAATGCTTTTTTGTCTTCACCTGTGCTGACCTTTGCTATTCCAGACCCTGACTACAGTGTCTGACTTAACATGCTTTCCCCATCCCTTACCCCCCACCTGTGTCCCCCATCTCCTCTCCCTTCTACCAGTAGCAGAAGAAAAAAAAGATGGGTCCCAGTCCAGCTTTAGATTATGGTCCCCCTACTTCTTCTTACATGCCCCACATTCCCCTTTCTAGAGGTTCCAGCAGACTTTAAACAATGGCAGCACCCTGGGCTGGGTATACATTGTGTGGCTGTGCAGTGCCAAACCTTCACAGGTCCTCCACATGCCTGAGCTGTTGTACCACCCCTTCATTTGCCACTAGCCTCTTCCCATTCAATTCTGGGGTTCCACTCTCACAAGTAACAGTCAGTCACCATAGCAAGGGGCCCTCTTACTGTTACAGGCAACTGCATGGTTCCCTATGTCTAACACCTTCCTTGGCCATCAACTCCAGGGCTGCGTCTACACTGCAGGCTTTTTGCTCAAGAACAGCTATTCTTGCGCAAAAACTTGCAGAGCGTCTACACTGCATGCACGTTCTTGTGCAAGTAAATTTACAGTAAAGCGTCAGAAAACAGGGCTTCTTGCGCAAGAGTTATTCCTCTCCCCACGAGGAATAAGCCCTCTTGCGCAAGAGCTCTTCCACAAGAAGGTAGTGTGGATAAGAAACATGATTTTCTTGCGCAAGAAACCCCTATGGCTAAAATGGCCATCAGAGCTTTCTTGC